AATAGTTCGTTGATTTAGAATTTTCGTGTTAGTCTTACCCGGAAGACGTGGGGTCGGAGGGTAATTTTTCGTCGTCTTCCGTAAAGTGCTTCTGCCTAGCTCCTTTCTTAATTAGTGTAATTACATGTGTCCAGCTAAAGTGTAGAGACGGAAGATTAGACATGGACAGTTAGACAGAGCGCAACTGCAAGTATGCAAGGGATAGGAAAAAGAAAGTTGGTGGCTTCCGAAGCAGCTCCGGCCGCCGGCGGTGTTGCACTTTCTTCTTTGGGTTTGGTTTTCTCACTGATTTCTTCTTCGCCGTCACCACCCTGGCCATGTTCAACAAAGGCAACGACCAATTAGCTGTTGTTGAGATCGAATGCAGCATGCATGTGCCGATGTGCGTACCTTGGCTGCTGCCTCCGACTGTTCGCTCTTCGTGGATGACTGAGCATCGCTTCCTTCAGCTTCGTCCGTCGTGGAGGATTTGTTGCCTGTCGACGATGCAGGCGCGGACGCCTTGGCGCTGTTCGAGCCATTCGCCTCTGTAGGCGCCGCAGCCTCCAAGGCATGAGCTGTGGCGGCCATAGGCGGTGCCGTTTTGACCTGCATTACACACGGGCGTGCGTCAGTATAACTTGCATTGTGCGTGTGAAAACCAGCGTATGTGTGCTCGTCATCACGTGCTCACCGGATCTTTCATGATGCCAATGTCATACATCGGCGTGAAGTCTGGCTGGAACATCCCGAAATTGCGCTCGGCGACGGGCCCGGGCTTGAGGTCCTCGTTGAAGAGCGCAAATATGTACGTCTCGAACTTCCGCTTTGGCATGAGCAATGTGCCTGACCCGGAGGTAACCTCACCGATGAGATATTTGTTGTACTCCGCCGCCTCGGCCGGGCTCACGCCGATCTGCCCGTCCATCGCCTTAGTCGGCCACCCGGTCTCCCCCACCAGGATCTCCACGTCCTCAAACCCAAGTTTCTTCATTGCAGAGTACACCGAGTCAAGCTGTGCCTCAAGCATGCTCGTGTATGTGATGCCCGTACCCGTGTCTAGCACGCCAGGGTTCGGCCGCGCCAGCGCGTACGGTAGCGTGTCACCGTTGTACCCAAAGTACGGGTACGTGTTCACGATGAGTGGGGACTTGGTCTTCCGGAGAAATTGGAGCATCGGCGTGAAGATGGCAACATCCCAGACATCGCGAAACCGAGCCGCGGACGGCGGCTGGGCGTCAACCAGGATGCCGAGTGAGCTTGGCGTGGAAACACGAATTTTGCCGTAGCCAGCCGTGACGAGCGCGGCCTTGAGTGTCTGCATAGCGGGGACGAGGTTGCCGATGAGATTCTTGTCGGCCGTGTCCATGATCTCGTTGCCCACGGCGATGAGAGAGATATCTGTGGCGGGGTAGTATGGCGCGATATTGGTAGCGACCCATGCATCGGCGCCGTTCTGGGTGGCCAGGCCAGGGATGTCGCCATTGCTTGTTGTGACCATTACCGAGATGCCCGTGCCAGCGAAGACCCGGATAATGTCCGGCTTGATGTCAAACAGCTTTACACGGTCAATGTTTGTGCGGGTCACGAGGAACGCCGCAACATTAGCCGGCGATGGAAGGTTGTCACCCTTGGTGCCGTAGTTGACACCGATCGCCATGCTGAACGGTGCTATGACGAGGAATATGCATATGACCACCTCGGCACGGAGCATGAAACCATGCCTTGGCGGCGGCCCCATGGTGAGCCGGTGTGCCACTGGAGGATGGCCGGCCGGACACAAGCCAAGTAGGTGATGACGAGAGGTGCCCATATGAACTTTGGGCTATTATTTGAGGACCCTCCAATTATAGCTAGCTATACTAGGAAGGTATGCATAAGCACGGAGTCCATATCTTCAAACGCATGTGTGGGCTCCGGCCATCCAATCACTATTGCAAAGGCCGATAGGGACGGCCAGCATCACGAGCGCGGTAGGCAGCACATATAGATGTTGCCCCCAGAAATGGAATCTTATGCGAGCGCAGCGGCTCCCACTCGGGCTAGGTCACATGTCAAGAAGGCCCTCTACTCCCTCCTTGGATTATAACTAGGACCGGAATATAGCACCAATGTAGCATCAGGTTATGCATGCATGCATGCATGCAGATGTGACAAAAGCAATGATATAGATGTTTAACTTGCTAGTACTTGAATTTACAATAGGTCTTCAATGATTGGTCTAGCTTTGTTTTGATGAGATCCTCTTGTTACTATATTTTAACAACCTTTTGAGGTTTAAAGTTGCCATCTAATTTTTCTTTGTTGTCACACATTGGTACCAAGGTTACTACGTGGAACTTTGATATCAACATAGTGGCAACTTTGGTATCAATTCGGTGCCAAGTACAATAATCCTGGAATGACAACTTTATAGTCCAGTTTTGTATCAAAACATATCTAGAGTGAAATCTAGTTATGAATGTCTCGCCAATACAAAGCTATAGGTGATAACGGAATATTAATGTGCCTAGTGTTAGTTTGCAGAACATTTTTATTTTGGTTTCTTCTCCTTCCTCACATGTTTGCGTGAATGCAAATGCTCCTGCACACTTTGACCCCATGGCCAAAATCTTGCCGCGTTGGGAACATAGCCACGGAAAGTTCATTCCTTATAATTTAAAGCACCAAAAGTGCACTATTAGACGCCTCCAACTTGTCGCCAAGAAGAAGTACATGAGGGGTCCGACTACCTCAAAACACACCAAAGGCCAACGACGACATGCAACTATGCACAACCTGGAAAGCACGAGACTTCGCCGCATGATCAGCATCAACCTGCCATTGCAGAGGACCCTCTACCCTATCGCTCAGGGCCAAGGAGTGCCGACTATACCGACAAGTAGAAAGGATAGAGAGAGGACGTCATTGCGCGTAAAAGCTAGGTAAACACGACCGCTAGCCATCGGCGCCATGGTGGGGCTGAAAAGAGGTCCAAGTCATGTGTAGAAGGTAGGTGCAAACGAAACGGCTAGCCATGGTCGGAGCCAAGGTGGTGTCGAATGGAGCTCCAAGCCAAACCGCACACGCGACCTCGATTGGGGATCATTGACACACATCTATGTGAGGGACACAATGTACTGTGTATGCACAAGAATGACGACGATTTTCACCCTGAGTGATGGCTAACGAGGTGGGGAAGGAAAACAATGCATTGTCTCCAAGAGGGACAAGACACCTACAAGCATCGTCACCATTGTTGTTAGGGCATGACGCTTTCGATCGACACCTCCCATGCACCTTGTTAAAGGGACCCAAGCTACAATGGCCCCTGGTGGGAACCAAGAACAATGAAGGGGAAACTCTAGATCTAGATTAGGGAAAGACCGTCATCGATGAAAACCTCCTTTCGAGGGTCACATGCCACCGCACACGTCTCCGTGTAAATGACCAATGAACATAGCCAACAACACTTTATCGAGAGCTAAATGTGCAGCCCAACAACGGGGGTCACCGCCCAAACACCCAGGGCCCAAGACCCCTGCATCACCACAAGAATTCACCTGCATCAACCAGAGCAGAGGAAGCCACCACAACACATTGGAATCTCTAGATCGACCGTAGCCTATTTCCGTAGTCATATCTGGCCATGGACAAACCTTACAACCGTTCCAGGATACCACAAAAGAAATGTAGCTAGGACAAGCATCCTGAATGACGGGCTCCCAACCATTGAGTGGGAGGGGGGCGTCCATGTTCCTCATGGTTTTGACCACCTTCCAGACATGACTACCCTTGTCCTACTTCGGATCTGCGCAAGGATAGGCTTCCTGACAGGTAGGCCCGCGGTCCACGATGAGGCGAGGCAAGGTCGTACGCCCTCCTAGTCACGAGCCCCCACCCAGGCTAGTGGCAACCTCACAACATGATGATGCAAAGGACCCATGGCACCTGCACACTGATCTTGGGCAAGGGAGATGAGCCTCGGCCCATCCATGTCACCAACTGACCATAGCTCCGATGAAAAGATTCATGCTATGTAGTGTAGGTGCATGTAATTATTTTACATACTTCATGTTGTTACTGATATTTTCCTCTCTACTCATTTTTTCCGACAAATGGTGGATTTTATTTACTCAAGCTGAAGTATCAAGAGAATACAAGCACAATAAGCGCCCACCCAGCCTCTGCATAAGTAGTACGAACATAGCCAACACCAGTGCATACAAACAAGGAAACACGTTGGCAAAGAGCAAAGTCATGCAAGTCCAAAGCTATGCCCAGACATATATATACTTTGTTTACCGACCATGCTATGTCGTCTTGGTAAGGCGATAAACTTTATTTACCAACCACATCTGCATGCATCATCCCTGCGTGTCTTTCGTTTTTTTTTTTTGGCAATTCATGGCCGCCTGTCTTAATATATTCCTTTTGCTGTCAAAGTGGCTGATGGAACCTGAAAAGAACATCAACTTGACATGCTGAAAGACATACATACACGCAAGTAGTCAGCCATGCTACATGTCTGTGATGTAAAAGAGGAAAATAAAACAAACTTTGAAATGGTGCAGTAAGTAGTCCATTCAATGTTGTGAAATTAAATGTGGCATGATATAGAATTTCAAAGTTTATTGTATCTCCATGTTTTTGGAATCGTGTGAATCGAAGTGGTCTAGTTATGCAAGCCGGTCGCTTTATCTCAAGTCAGTAAAAGGTACAGACTAGAACAATGCGTGGATAGTGTCTTCTGAATTGTGATCCTGCCTGCAGCTGACTGCATCTACATGAACTAGGCACGCTGCCTGAAGATCAATATAATTCTGTTGTCGTGAGAGGAAATACGTCTTAGCAATTCATCAACTTGTGGGTTCAGGCAGAAGGAGAGAGAGAAGAAACCATTAAATGCAGCAAGCGAGTACATTTTATTTAGCTGATTCACAAAGCAAGAGACCAACAGTTCCCCACGTTTTCACTCGCTAGCTAGCTAGGCCGTCCCAGGTTGGCCGACTTTTATAGGTTGAAGGGTCATGCCACTCGTCACCAACATATATGTAGGGTAGGGGCACCTATGCATTACACAATCATATAAACCGGCCACAATGCAAGAACGGCGTCAATGCATCACCGAGAGTTCGCGATGTACTCGCTCAGTCGCCAATAGCATGCAGGCACGCTTGCTTTCTTTTGCTAGACACAGATCCATCATCGATGCACAACTCCGAAATACTTTCTGAGTTCGAGATGAGAGCCAACCATATGTTTTTTCTTCTCCTAAGAGAATCGATGCATTATGGGATTGGGAAGCAACGGGGAAGGAGGATTTACTAATTAAGAGTCTTCTCCCGAGTTAAGTTGGATTCATCATGTCTTCATCAACGCCTCGCCATCACGGACACTGACGACGACTTGCTGCCATGCTGGACGAAGGGGAAGAAAAACACACAATAAGAATGACTTTATGGCCGTGATAAAGTCAACGAAATTTTGAAAAAATTATTAATTACAGTACATACCTATATAGTAACTGCCTTTTGGTTAAAAGATTTCAGCAATTTCAGTTGTATACATAATTCTATTATTATTTTTACTTTTCAAAATATTTGGTTCAATCCATGCGGAAATTTCGATCATTTGGCTGAAATGAAAACCAAAATCACTGAATTTCATTGTATTCGCAATGGTTGGAATATTTCTTATACCCGGATTTAAAACCATGAGGTAATCGGAGTAACAAGATAAGCATTGACGTACATGAAAATATCCCCAAATTCTTGATTTTTTTTAAAATATGGTGGGTTGGGCACCCGAATGCTCCAAATCCTCTTCCTTCGCGCGCATCACTATTCTCAGGCTAGCTTGTCCGGGCGGGAAGGTTGCATGGTTGCGCACGGAAGCCTGCGCGGTTGTGCGGAAATGGCTCACCAATGATACATTGACGCCTCTTCGAGCCGATGCATGGCCAAATGAAACAGGTGTGCGGTGCTCAAGCGTGCACTGGAATTCTCCGGCAGGAACGCAGTGACAAGACATGCTGATATTAAAGGCTGTCTGACCCCATTTATTAACCTTGTCTCTCTTCAACCTTTCGATCGCGCCCCACAACACAAGAAGCACACCTACGATAACACATACAGAGAGGACATCCCGCGGCTTCAATGGCGCTCCCAGTGACTGGCGATAAGCGGCAGTTCACCATGCGTGCTATAGTGGACACCCATCAAAGGTTCACGGACACGACCGATCTGGGTGGAGAACTCCATCCACACCATGGAGCAATTGCTTGCTGAGGACAAGTACAAAGTAGTCGGCTTTGACCTCGAGTACACCAACCGTCGTGCTGGTAATAATCAGAAGGTCGTCGTTGCCCAGATGTCCGTGTGTCATCACGTCCTCGTCTACCACTACTGCCTGGCTACAAGGTCTTGCAAACATTTCACCAGGTTTGTCTACAACCCTGACTACAGTTTCGCTATGGTGGGCACCAGAAATGATGTAAAGATGCTCAAGACTTTGACTATCGCCTGCCAGAAATTTGTCGACATCCAGGGACAGTACAAGATCTGGGGCAGCAGGAAGGAGGATCTCCCTGGTTGACCTCGCTGAGACCATCATCGACCCCAACTATAGAGACATGAAGGATGCCTGCAGCAAGAACATGCTTGCCTGACACTTGCCCTGGATGAAGAAACTGGATGAAAATCACATCGAGTACGCGGCCAAGGAGGCGTACACAACCTACATTTGTACATGTGAATCATTGACATGAAGAAGTGTCTCCTTCCCCAAGTCGGCGAGGGATCCAGCCAGAAGCGGAGTAATGGCAAGTGTCAC